AGTTTAATGTATAGACTTCAAAATTTATTAATGAAATTTCAATTAAAAAACCAAAAATTACTGTTTGATGAATTTTTTCAAAAACTTTGTTTGATACAATGAATTTCGAAATTTATTTTCTGATGATCGTTCAGTCGTAATGAAATAGATTTTTGAAAACTACTAATTCTGTTACTACTTTAAATATTTACATCTAAGCAAATAATCTTCATTATATATGTATAATTAATTTTCAATTGATCTTAGTTCGACAAACTCTATTCATTTCCTAAAACATTTGTTCCTAATTTCTTGACTACATATAACACATTATTTAAGTTTCAAAGTAGTTCAAAAGCATTAGTCAAGACTTTTTCTCTTTTGGAACATCCACATCAACACCCTTGTTTTCCAGAATCTAATATTTATTATCACAGAATGAAGCGGTATTTTTTTTTCTGTAAAAAAAAACAGTATAGAAACATCGAAATAGAGAACTCATTTCATGTTTATACTTTATGATGTCCTTGCTAAATGAATTATAGTTATAATGGTTTCCAAATATGTGATACTGCAGACACTATTCGTAACAGCTTTTATTATTAAATCGTCATTTTCACCTATTAGTTATAAATAGAACTTACATCATTAACTTAAATAAATCAATAAAGAAAAAATTTCATTCAATGTTTGAAACATTTATTATCTTTTTTTTTCATCAACAACTTCAATATTTGAGATTGCGAAACAAACAAAAGTTTAAATACTTTGCTGCAGAGTCGAATATACTTCAATATCTCTCAATTATTATCGTTTATTGTTTGTTTAGATAGTAATGATCTAATAACGCTTGTTCTCACCTGAATGATTCGTCGTAGAAAATTATAAATTGAGTATTTTTTTTTCATCTTATATACTAATAAATAGTGTAAGATAATCTTGTCTTCAAATGAGACTGCTTTTCTTTCTCTAAGATCAACTAGATATGCCTATTGTAGTTGATAGAAGTATAAGCAGTCAATGAATTTTTAAAACAGAAAAGATTCTAAATATTGACTCTTTTGTTTTCAATTTTATTTAATACTTTATTCAATTAAATTTATATAAAAAGGTCATATTCGAATAATAAACTTTCCATAACAAAACCGAGTAACAGTTTATGTTGACGATAAATAATTTTGTAAGACTCCGACAAGATCATATTTATTGCTATGTGTATCATGTTCATAGGAAACGCGCAGTGTTCGAACATTAGTCATAGGATAGATTAATTCCAAAATACACATCGACTTTTCAACTTCAATAATTAGTACGCGACATTGAAAGCCAATGGTGATCGACTTAATTCTATAGATTGTTTATTATTATAAGGATGGTGACGACCCGATTGATCACAACCCTCTAGATCAAGTCGATGTATTGATGGACTGGTATATTGATATGGTGGCATTGTCGACACGATCCAAGATTCAAATGCTAGTGAGAACAGACGAGGTGCACGATCAAGTAATGCTTGTAATTTCAATTGGCAGCTTTCCGTGAAAATGGTTGCAGTCAGTGATAGTAAATTTTCAAGACTGGAAATAATTGACAACAATCGATGATCAATTGGAAATTTAAGAAATAATTTTTCTATATTGTTGAGTTTGATATAGGATAATGGTTCGTCGTTGAATAGCGATAGTGCATATCGGATAGTATGAACAGAATCATGGGAGAAATGCATATCACATGGTCAAATCGATTTTGTATGTGAATTCAATTTACTAGTGAAAGTAGAAAAATGATCAAATTCATATGGTAATGAATAAACGCGAATCGAAAGATATTCTCTCCATAGTCTTCAATAACATCGAATAAACCATTGATGATATTCGATCCAAAATGGAGTACGATATGTAGTAAGGTATTGATTAACTTTTTCTTCATTTATTTGATCATTAGTCGAGTGATTAAGATCGAAATCCATCCTAAACTGTAGAACTATTAGTTGAGGCTAATAATTAACAATAATTTGTTCCCAGCGATGTCTATCTAAGCTGATCTGTAAGTTTTCAACTTTTTGGATGAATGACATTAGGTAATAATTATAGTAAATTGATCATCCCACGTTGTGAACGTGTCTGAGATAGATCGAGTCTTTTAATCGATAAATTTTGAGGTGATGGTATAAATTCATAAAACAGAGGACGATCATCTTCTTCATAGCCATCCAATGACGTCGAAAATTTTCATAAACGCGATGTGATTTTTAAAAATTTGGTAAAATTAGTTGAATGCCAATCAGTATTACGAATCGTTAAGTATTGTAACGATGCTAATATGACAGTAGAAATGAAAAAATCATATTGACCATTCAATCTGAAATCTCAATAGAAGTGGGTCAGTTTCGGTAGATTCCAAATTTGATTCATTATTTCTTGAAAATTATTTCTGTCGACATGATATAATCGACAATTGACAAATTTCAGATGTGTTAAAGTATGAAGACAATGTAAGTCGGAAAACAAATGTTGATTAATCTTTGAATTCGAACTAACGCTATTGAATGTTAATGAACGAAAATTATCGAATCGACCTAATATAAGACCGACTGTTAAAAAATGAGCACACCCGTACCTATTATCGGAATTTAAAAAAAGGCTAGTGGACAAAATGCTTATAACTTTTGAGAAAGATAGTTAGAGACCTGCGGCTTTCACCGTTCGATAGAGAGACCTGGGGGACGTGTATCTATGAAGAAACCAAAATTCTTCCAGTTGTTTTCGATACTAGTTTCAGCAGACGAAATTTGAGGGTGGGGTGTGGGGTGGGTGTAGGTGTGGATGTGGGTCAATTAGAAGAGGAACATCCACACCAACACCCACACCCACATCCATATCCATTAGGGAAACGGAATACAGTTTCCGGAAATTGATTTGGCGTTCAGAAACCCATTGAGTTTCCTGGAAACTAATAGAACGCATCATATGCTTATCTATCTAAATCAGAGAGGAATAATGCTGATCAAAATTTTTATATTATCACACCCACTGAAAAATAGCGGCATACTATAGAATTACACAAGATGTGTGGGTGTTGTTCTTCTTCTCATCTACAGCACTCACGCTCATATCCAAAATTTTTTCAACGAGCAACGTCTGAGGAACCCTTGTCTCCAGTTTCCGAGAAGATTTTTTCTTCAAAATTCTTGTTTTTTTTACATATCATTCGACATCGTTCAATATACTGCTTCCGAATGTACTTTTCTATTGATTAAATATTTTTTCAAAGCCAGAAAAACTGAAAAATCTAAGTTTTTAGAAACTCACTGTGCAGTCAGGGATTGCTTGCGCTAACAAGGATTAGAGACAGTAGATAGAAGAACATTCTGGCAATATTTGGAACAGTTTGGAGGTTGAATATGAATGGATTGCCCATTTTCTGTGGAACTAGCCATTCGGATAATACTGCAGAAAAAAATATTGTTTACCATTGTATAGAGCTTGGCTTGAAGGTTCAGAAAATGTGTACTTGATTGGTCTGTCGAGCTGTTTCATTTTATTAGATATGAATTTGCTTGTGACATCATGATTCTCAGACTAATTTTTGGGCAACAGATTTTTGCAGTTTGTTTGAGAGTTATAGCAAAATTATTTATACTATTAGATAGACTATATTTCAAAGTATATTTACTTATATTTAAATTTTGAAAAAGTACGATTTTCATTTTTAGTCAAATGTCCGCCTAGATACACACTCGAAAATATATGTGAGTTCCACAAAATAATCAACGGATTTTTTCACCGGAAGAAAAATCATTGATACTATCGTTCTATGAGTATCAAATATTCTGATTAGATTTTATTATTAAATCAAAACAATAGTGATCAAATGTTTCTGTTCTTTTTTTTTGTTTTTGTCTTATAAAACATTCCATTTGCCTGATCGTCGATAAGCCGAAAGAACCTTATGTGCTCGTCGTCGAATATATTGATTTGAATCTCGATTAAATTTTTCAAGTGCATCTAAAACTTTCATTTCCATATGATCAGGTGAACCATCACATAATGTATGTAGAACCTTTGTAAAACGATCTATATTATTTAAATTAGGTAATAATGAAATGCTTACTTGTTCTCGAACATTATCAGCTGGATCATCAATCATTTCCATTACACGTTCCCAAAATGCATCAATATCGTCTTTAACACGACATGGACATATTTCTCTTAAAGCTCGTTGTCGTACAATAGGATCGACATGATTTGTTAATTCTAAGATTGTTTTTATATCTTCGGTTTCACGACAAAGACGAAGAGCATCTTTACTTGGTAAATTACTCATTTCAAATTTGTTCGATAGCAGTGAAATTTATATCACATTGTACATTACTATGCATAATGCTAGCATGAACGCATTTCATTTATTTATATAGAAGTTACTTATATTGCACTAGATTGTGCAATATAGAGGTAAAAATTGCATAATTCTACCATATGTTTCATAGTTATTTCTTCATTACTATGACGTCTTATGAAAATTACACGTAAAGAATGTTTTTAAAGAAAAAATTTTGTCAAGGCAAAAAATATAAACTTAGAAAAGTCTTATATAAATAATAATTCATTAGAAAACAATGAATTTTATTCGAGCATGCATTATAATATTAAAGAATAGAGTTTTCAATAAATTTTATTTTCTTTATATTCGAATCATATAGACAGAAATATTTCATAATTCAAATAAAATTGTATATTAGAGTACTGTACTCGTATGACTTGTTGTATTCGACACAATACAAAAATTTTATATCCATATTCTATCCGTACCATTTTTTTTATTCTGATTTATAAAATATGAAATAATAAGTGTAAAACATCAGCAACTATCGTTAAGTTTTTTTCTACCAAATACAGTTACTTGTATATTTGATATCTATCCCAGGCTGTTGCAGCACTGTCGTTAAAACTGTCCGAAATTTAAGTATTAATATCTTAACTTGGTTTTTTTTTTGGTAATAATATCAAAGTTTTAGTAGAATATCTTTTACGAGAGAATATTTTCAATGAATACTTTTCGTTTGAGTTCATATTTTTTCCATAAATAGGATTTCGTAAGGCTAAAATGATTTGTTCCATAAGGCATGCCTTTCTGAGTTATGACTATTTTATTAGAATTTCTTAAATTTCTTCATATCATTATTCAATCAATTATACAAGCTAAAGAATACTGCTGCAAGAATTCAAAATAAATGTCGATGATGTATATAGTGAAAAGTATGTAGGAAATAGTTGAGGGTGCGTGCAGGTGAAGACAAGAGCTTCACGCATACCCAATATCAGCTTGTCTTCAATATTTATTATCCCAAGAAGATTCAACATGAGCTTGAATGAAGAGTATTACTTCGACATTAAATGAATTAACAAATATATTGAGAATGATCTTATCAATAGGAAAAAAAAAGATTGATTACTTTCAATTTTCTCATCACTTGATCTTATGATTGATGATCTCATCTTCCTTTATTATAGTTTAAAATAAAGATGAAAGAAATAAGAGCATGACTAATACTAATAATAATATTTCATAAATTCAAATTTTTCTTTTTTTTTTTATACATGAACATGCAATGTGAGAAAAATATAATTATTTTTGTGTTGGAATTATCACTGTTTGCCATCTTTCATAGTTGATCAATCTGATTATATTCTATTGAAAAAGAAAAGAAAAACATTGACAGCTGGACAATAAACAGTAAAGGAAAAAGGATGAGAGAGAGAGAGAAAGAGAAAAAAATGTTGATCGTATTTTTTCTTCCTCTTTCACCTTCAAATCGAAACGAGAAAAATAGTGAATGACCTCTTGCACTCATTTCAATGCCAATCCATCACCATCATCAATACAATATATATATATATATTCATATCCTTTCTCATTTGTAATGTTGTATGACGACAAAATCTACATGTGAATTTAATCGACTTATGTATCTTCTTGATACAAATAATATTGAACAAGCTCGATTATTACTTAAACAACAAAATTTATTAATACGAAATAATCTTTTTGATAAATTTGATAATAATGATAATACATTACTTCATCGTTATATTCTTCGTAATCAAGAAGATGCTGTACATTTATTATTAGAATATGGTGCATCAGTTTATTCATTAAATAAATATGGATGGTTACCAATACATTTAGCTGCTTATTATGGACAAAATCGAACTATAGTAAAATATCTTCTTGAATTCGAAAAAAGGTAGATGTTACTTTTTTTTTTTCATGTTTATTAAAGTATTTTAATTTAAATATATTGTTTAATATGAATTTAAGATGATTTTTTCGATTTGTTTTTTATTGTGTCGGGAACCTAAAAAAATAAAAATAAAAATATCAAGTTTTTGGAATATGTATGAATATTTGAAAATTTTATTTGTGATGTTAACCATAAAATAAATTCAAAGAAAACATTTCTCATCCATCAAATTCTTTTCTTACTTTTTTTATATAATCATGATTAATTAATATCATTCGACATGCATTATTAATATGTTTAAATCGATCATTATGCAAAAGTATACCACCAAACCATCTTGACACCACGACTAGGACATTTTTAACATCTACAGTCTAAGAATTTTCTTTTGGTATTTCATTTATTTTCTTTTGTTTTTTTTTTCACTTACATCCATTAAATGAAGCATTCGACTGGATGCACCTGTTTCACCATCATCATCACAATCTGTTAAAATTACATTACGTTTTTCATCCCATATTCTATACATACAAAATAATTCTCGTATTTAAAAGAAATTAAAAATCTTTTACCTATATGCATATATATTATGAGTGGCATTAGCAATTTTTTTATTTTCTTTTAATTTATGGAGAACAAGTTGAACTTCTTCTTTACTATGTACAGGACTTAAATGTGCTTGAAAAACACTTTTACGATCTTCAAATGGTTCATCACTATATATAGGTGGTAGAATTGTTTCGACTATTGGTAATACACATTGGTCAACTATTTTAATAGGATTGTATTCGTAGATTATGAAATATTATTACGCCTACCGATTGGTTCAGTTGTATTCATATGAACAGCTAAATAAAAAAAAAAATTTCTTTTTTCAAATTTTTTTTTGAAACTAATTTGACTTACTTTCATTGATATCTGATGGTTTATCAACAAAATCTCGAAGAGCATCAGCCCATAAAAAAGCTACTGGTTTACCAATATTATTTCTAGACAAACAAAATAAAGATGGGACGACCGTATAAAAACACAAATCCGCCTATTCTTAAACTTTTCTAAAATAATAAGGATCCAAAATACTACTCTTGATTATTCATGGTCAACAAAATCGTGAAGTATCTTGCTGAGTACTTTTCACAACGATGGTGTATATTTGTCAAACTGAAAAAAATCCTGGTCCCTTATAAGAATCTGAATCGAATAATACATGAGTTTTAAAAAGTTTAAGAATAGGCTGATTTGTAGTCTTACACAGCCCCGTCCTTTGCAATAGAAAAAGAACTTATTGTCGTACAAATAAATGTTTTCTAAAATATTTGTTAATTCTTGTCGTTCTTGACCTCTTAACCATGGTCCTCTTAACAAAAAAGAAATAATATGTTTATATATAAACAAAAAATTAATCATAAAATTTTACCTTATATTATAAATAAGTGGTTGTTCTGTTGGATAACCATCAATGAATGTTAAATCTAGACTAATTGCTCGTTCAGGTCGATGATTCATAGTTAATGTATATGTCAGTTCTGTATCATTTTCATCTTGTTTCCATTGTTTTTCATCAAAAATACTATTTAATGCTTCAATTTCTTCAGCTTGAAGTTGAACCCAATTTTCAGACATCTGCAAATAGAGAAGACAATTATGAATAGAATAAGTATTCAAATTAATTTTGTTTATAAAAAAAAAAAATTTTTTTTTTTCTGTTTGTATTATTATTTCAGTACATCGTTATTAATAAATAGTAAATCATCGTGCATACATATGTATAAAATAATCATGACGACAGAATGTTGATGATTGAATTATTTAACTAGAAAATTAAAAAGAAAAATTTTTAACAAAAATTATACGAGAAAGAAATAGTTAAAGAGTTCAATTGAATGTAAAATTTTAAAAAATTTCTATCTGATATTTAATGTATGAGACTTCAATTATGCTTCGATGTATCATAGCTTAGTAGATTTACATAGAACTGTTGTTGTCTACTTATGAGAAAACCTTATCAGATGTCCGCTTTCGATGTTAATGATTTTTTTGCCTATAGATACTATATAATGTTTAAGATGTCAATTCTCAAAAATCTCTGTAGGACCTTAGTTTTTCGAGAAAAATCATTTTTTTTCGAATTTTGTTCTGAAGCTACTTTCACGTAAACCAACTTGTACAAAGAGTTTGATAATTTTCAGATTTCGTATTTCTAAGATACGAACTTTTCAAAATATTTTTATATTGTACAATCCTAGGTCCTTTTAGAGTTTTTACTAGAACATTATGTATTATTTATAGTCAAAATATACTTGAAATTGGAAGGGAATCTTCCAGAAGGTTTCATCGTGAGTTGTAACTCCCTTAAGCTAGAGAACGTTCTGTCAGAACTCTACTGTCTACTTCTTTTTATTAATGATCAAATAAAATTTTTTAACGATGTGATTCTAATCGGACAAAAACCGTCGACAGTGCAAACAAATTTACAACATAGGTAATCATTGATTTCTGGGTCTGCCATGGCTGAGTGAGTATCACAAAGCTACAGTGATGAAACTTTAATACCACCAACTATCGAGTGATCCTGGACAAGTGATTAACGACTCTTTGTTTCAGATCATCCGTCCAATAGTATGCTTACTATGTCGTGACATACACCTGCTCTTGTGGCAAGTTAGTATGTATGAGGAGCTTAAGCAATTGAGTGCAAGAACTCTGCGACAGGATGGTCTTCTGTTCAGAGCTACAGCTAGTCATAATTGTAGGGAAGACATCGGGTTATTGAATCTACTGCAAGATAGGCGAAAGATAGGAATATATTCTTCTTCTTCGTTGATTCATAACTAACAATTGAATTATGCATTGAATGAAACTCATTTATCAAATAAAAATCACTGGATTGTTAATTTTTTATGTGCCCAAAAAAAAGTACTGTAATGATAAATTATTCTGCTGTTCATCAAGGCAAAAAACAATTTTTTTTTCATAAATAGTCTTTGTTGGACGATATATCATCGATGGTTGATCGATATTTTGTGTCTAAGACTTAGAAGCATTTTTCGATAAGTAATAAAAATCAAGCGCGTCTTCTACTTACTTGATTGTATTATTAAATTTATTCATTAATCTTTCTCGTTTTAATTCGTTTAAGCCAATAAACTAAAAATTGAATATTTACGTAGAATAATTATCGATGAATTTGTAATTTCTTTCAAGACTAAATCAATGTCTATTACTATTTTCATCGGATCGAATATCATTTCTAATAATACAATTTCTTCTTTCACTTAATTTTCTTTTGTTTTCTTTATCATTGATAAATAATCATATTTATTATTTCTATCTGATGTTCTTGACAATCGATCAATATAATCACTAGGTTTCATTGGTGTTTTTTTTTTCTAAAAAAATAAAATTTAAAAATATTTCATGGTTCTTTGTGTTTGTTTTTTTTTCTTTAATTTTAATTCCGCTAAAGCAAAAAAAATATCAATTATAAATCTATTTTTAAATGTTTGCTTGATGGTAATGAAATATAACAAACAAATGATCGAGGTATTAATTTATCCCAAAATGTATTCTAAAATAAAATAACATATAGATTTGTATAGTTTCATAGATAACAAAAAAAAAAAAAGAAAAAATAGTTCTTACATTTGATGGACATGATTTTCTTGCATAAGTTTCCATAAAATAGAGACATGATTCAAGACCAACACCAATAAATAGTAATATCCAAACAAGTATATTATATGTTACACTTTCTTGTCGTGGTAGACAAAATAGACAAACCACTAAAACGAAATATAAATTATATATATTTACAAAATAAATTCAAATGTTTGCTTCGACAGTGAAGCTTTATTCATAGGTACTCAAACACAGATGTGCCAAATCTTAGGACATGGTGTTATAGATGACCTTTCTTTCTTTTTTTTACTTATTAAGAATCAGAAATGAGCACAGAACAACTGCATCATGATGTAGGTGTGGGTGTCCGTATGGTTTTTCTCTTCACCTATTCAGCCAATCTCATCATAACTACAGGTCCATATCCCATCCAAAAAAAATTCATTTTGCACATAAGTGTCGTGTCACGGAGAAACTCATAGATTCTATCGCACTCATTATTTACTACTCGATGACGTGCTATACAATCTTGCGTTGGTCTTTTGATTAAAACAATGTGAATAATCATTCTTAACCTTATTTGATATGATAAAAATATCATATTTACAAAACTATTTTGATGGTGTCCTGTTATAGTATTAGACATAGATGGAACTGGTACTAGTCTGGATTTCGGATTGACCGGCCAACCGCTCTATACCAATCTAAATTTTCTACTTTCCTGATCTGTGATTGTATCTATATAAAAAAACAGTAAGTGAAATCAAGCCTAATCTCGCTGATCACGCAACGATTAGTTTAACAAATAGTTTGGAGAACGATCTCAGTGAACCTATTGTTGTCAATAGTAAAGCATTATGCCACTATGCGGCAAGTTACTAATTTAACTCAAAACAGTTCACTATGGAGCGAGATTTTGGTCTGTTACCTGTAGATCGGTATATTGTCGGTAGACAGGTTCCATCTATGGTATTAGAAACTGTAAGGCTCTATATTTTATCATTCTTTACATTGTGTTAAAAATCCTCAATCATCTTTATTTTTATATTTTCTTCTAAGAAATTTCATATGAATATATCTACTTACATCCAACAACACCAAAAACTAAAAATATTACTGGATAAAAAAATCCAAGTGCAAATACCATAACATATTCATGAAATATAGCTGATAAAAGTACGACACAAATAGTAGGAATAGAACGACTTTTTCGATCCATAAGCTATAAAAATAAATAAACCTATAAATTCAATACAAATCTTTACGAAGTCAATATCTTACAATATAAATTTCTCTATAAACATATGTATAAAGCCAATCATGTACAACAACATTCGATGTTCGATAATAAGCTGCAAATGATGTTGAATTCCACCAATCCTAAATTTCTAAACTACGTATTTAGAACATTGTTTCCTATTCTTCCTTACATTATAAAACATTCGATCAGCAAATCTAAGCATTTCTGCAAATGCATTAAGCCAACAATGTAAAAAACCATAAGAACCTATTTATTAAATCTTCATTTTCTTTTTTTTCTTTTATCAAATTAATAAATATTCTTACTTAATAAAAGAAAAAAACTTCCAGGCATAATTGAATTAAATAAAATTGATATAAACATTGATAGTGTTATTTTTGTTTTATTTAAATTCTCATATGTTGGTATACAAAAACGAACAATAATATAATAAGCATAGAATATACATATTATGAATTCTCCGAACATTTTTAAAACAAAACTCCATCGAATTATTTTATTACGTGGATATTGATCACGATAAATTAATGTTGGTACAAATAAAAAATATAAATATTGAGAAAAATCTGGACAAAGAAATTTTTCTTCATTAGATTTTGATTCTAAAAATATGAAAATAAATCAGAATTTTTTTTGTGTTCTTAATAAAAACAAAAAACAAAAAACTTTGTTTTTTTCAAGCGAATAATTAGTAATGCATTTACGTGTTTTGTTTTTAATTTGTCATTAGAATATTATTAGTTGTAGCAACTTTAGTTTTCTTCTGTTCATAACGAACCAACTGATGAAAGAACTTTTTCAATATTTTCACGAATAAATGCATGAGTTTTCATTAATTGTCGAAGCTAGAAATGGAGAATGACTCGTCAGAAAATTTTAAATGTTTCAAGACAAATAGATCTTGATAAGTGGAACAAAATTTGCAATAGACTCAAAATTTTTGCATGCTTTCCTATAAGGAGATATTGAGGTTAAACATTTGCCAGTATAAATAAAAGAAAGTTTCAGCTCGATTGGATGAACTATAGTTGAAAAATGGAAATCATTCTTTCTTTTTTTTTTTGTCAAATCCAATAGATCGAGAATACTTCGAAGTATATATAGAGTGCAGAAAAAACAAATCTAAACCTTTCCGGTCGAAAAATGACGGTAGTTCTCTCAATTATATCTTACTTGTTCAAGTAAAATGATCAATGCAGAAGCAAATGCTATTTGATGTTTCATAATTTGACGACATGGTAAGACCAAAAATAAGACAATATAAGTTAAATATAATAGCAGCCATATTGTATCGTAACGTTCTTTGAAAAAAGAAAACGAGATTAGTTAATAATTTATTTATCTAATCAAAATAGTCTTTGTGAATGAATATTCCATAGTACACTATTAACTATGTAAAAATAACCGTCAATTTCATCATCTAGTCAGAGATAATTCCTGTTAGTTGATTTAGAATATACTTCACAGTGTAAATCAGCTATACATTAGTGTCCTGCGGGAACGACTTTTTTCCCTAATTTTCCCATTCCCATGGGAATGGGAATTCCCATTTAGACTTAGGGAATGGGAACGCAGGAATGGGAACAGAATTAAAAATTGACGTTCCCAAAATTCTTTCTATCTTATTTCAATACACATAAAAATATTTCTATCTGATAACTGTTTATTTTCAATAACTTTTCTTATTCATATACAATTAACAGAAAAATAACAAATGTGTATCAACAAAAAATAGACTATTGATTTATTCTTAACCACATCGTAATTTAATTATCATAAATATTATTTTCCTTTTCATCATCGTCTTCGAAAATGACACTGCCAAGATCATCTTGCGATACATCATTATTTTCATCTTCTTGTGATATATCGTTATTATCATCTTCGCGACAAACTGGTATACATATATACCAATGACACTTTCGCATAGGTGAATAGAGCCTTAGAAAACCTTATGGGAACTATGGGAATGGGAAAAAGGGAATGGGAACAAAAATTTTTTTTTAGGGAATGGGAATAGGGAATGGGAATCAGAAAAAGTCGTTCCCGCAGGACACTACTATACATATTTACACTATTTATAATTGGACATGCACCGAATCATTTATAGACTTGAAAATGTTCATAATGCCACATAGTTTGCTGTTTCCTCTTCACTCATGAAAATCATCTTAGTCGTACGTATGATTGCCTTCATGCAGATTTAATACAGATCGACGTACAACACCTTATAGATAGTCATCAGTTGTAAAAAGTCGCATAAAGATCCGTGACTAATTTATCGTACTTGTAATACTCTATTTCGAAATAAATACGAGTAAAAGGTACTCGAATGAATCAAGGCCTGAAAAATTACAATGACTTTTTTTCTTGCATGATCGGTTTTTGAGAAAAAGAAAACATGTAGTCGGAAGGTTTTATATGATCATATAAAAAATTCAATATCGAAGTAAGAGCTCATAAGATTCTTATGCTAACTAGTAAACCTCACAAAATGATCAATTGATGAGTATTCGTTCATTAGGTAAGCTCAGTTGAGACGAGAAAAAGCCTCAAAAGGATTCATGTTTGTAAATTTTTCTACAGAACGCAATAATTTCACTTAGATCATCTTCAGAATCGACTTCGGATAAATAAAATTATCAATGAATTTAGTTGATTGTAACTGTATGACGTTCTCTGATATGTCGTCTTTTGAAATATTCACATATGAAGAAAGTAGACCTTTATCTACCATAGATTTTTCATTAAAAGTATTTAAAAATAGAAAATACAATATTTTGACAATGAACTATTATAATTCCATCGAAATCATAATAGACGATAGGTCAAAATTTATTTATTGAATGATCAGATATGTCACATCAAAGTTGATATTCGTATTAATAAATACTAATTTGAAACAAAAACTGCGAGTTCAATTCGATTCGAACCATTATAGTTCGATTCATTTTCTGTCTCTGTAGAAGACTTTATTTATGTAAAATTTCAATTGAAAAATTGATTTTTAAAGTGATCTAAGTAAGGAGCGTAAGCAGAAAAAGGTTATAGGAGAAAAGTTCAACCTTCTGATCATGTTCATAGCAGCGACTCAACATGGAAATACATTACAATCTATAGATTATGTATTTGTATAATTTCGATTTGATTAATCTTCGATTAAAATCTTAATGAACTAAACCGTAACTTTTTCTTTATCGATTTAGATGCTTGTAAAAGTTCTAAAACAAAAGAGATTCAAATTCTTACTTAAATGTTTGCGATAATTATATCGATTTTTAGTCCAATAATAAAATCCCATAAAAACAATAATTGCTGTAGATAATTGCATAATTAACCAAATAAAAAGTGCAATATGTAAATCAGCAAAAGATTCAAAAATTAAATTAAAATCTAAATTAAGTCTAGAAAAACAGAAGATTTGTTTTGATTAAAATAATTCTTTGTTGTTGTTGTTTCTTTTTTAAATACCTTCCATCTTCTATAATATCATCAATTGTTACTTGTATAATAAATATAATTAATATAGCAACAAGAACATTTCTTAAACCTTGAATATGTGATATTTGAAATAAATCTGTTAAAAGTGAATTTCGAGGAATAAATATACGAGATTCAGTTATTTGACGAGATGATGAACTAAATTACAATTTTTTCGATTTTATTTAATAACAATAAGAAAAAAAAAAGAAAGAAAAGAACTTTTCTCTATACTGACTTCATAGTCAACATTTCTAAAGGTTTCTTTTGTTGTAAATCTAAATTAGTTTTCAACGAATTAAATTGTTCATTTATTTCATTTTTAAATCCATGTAATTCAAATAAAAGTTTTAAATGAATTTTCTAAATAAAATATAGATGTTCAAAAACAAAAAATCTAAATATATATATATGATTCCATACTTCGGTATTTTGTTTAATCCATTGTGATTCATCGTTATTCGATATGACTATGAATAAAATCATATGTTAAATTTAAGAATTTTTAAGTATTTACTTTCTTCCGTATAAGCCATCTTGATTGTAAAGCGTCGATATTCTTAATAGGAATTTGTAGGAAAATGCAAATCTTTTGTTCAGCTTTCCTAGTAAAAACAAAATATGCTTTTACTCAATCGTCACCACCTTAGAATATTTTCTTTTGACGTGAAATATTTGTCATTGAAAATACGGTAAGATACGTTTGTTCGTTTTTTTTTGGGTTAGTTTTTGATTGATTAAATAATTCGACCAATAAAATATTTGTTTTTTGATTTAATTTTCATTCATATGAGCAAATTATCGGATATTTTTATCGTTGAATATTATTCATATTTGATGAGTATCGCATTTATTAATAAACAACTTTATACTTGACTGAATCAGATATTGTATAGAAATTATATGAAATTTATTTGTTAAGAATATTCGTTTAAATACAAAGATTTTTAAATACACAATCAATTATCGAAGTTTTTAGTAATAATTTCAAGAAAAGAATCGGAGTTGACTAAAAACATTTCAAATATATATCTAATAAATTTAAAAAAAAATCTGTTACCTCAAACATTCCTAGCATAGTTTAATATACAAAATAATCATGATCGAGTACGTCAAAATATGATATCGTTCTTACATTCTTTTCCGTGTCATTAATTCTCAAGGTCAACACGTGGTTTGACGTTTATTATGTCAAAATAGATCATTTAAGACAAATTATTATTGATATAAGAGTATATAAAAATAAATCATTTTCTACTACTAGTTTGCATTTAAATCGTTAATAATTATGAATTCAATTTCTATTACATAAAATTCTGTAGTCCAATTGAAAATATTGCGTATAATATGAATTATTCCATCACAAAGTATGATTTCAATCTGACAAGGGAGCCTGAATTTAATGGTCTATTGAGTAAATATATTTGTAAACAATATTCACTTACAATTGAAGGACGTGTATTATAAGTTAAGAAACTTGATTATATTCTAATCAAATGAAGTAATTTAAAATATGAACTCCCCCATACCATGTACGAACCGAAATATTCGCGTTTTGAAATATTTAAAATCTACATCATGATTCAAAATTTCGGCAAAATTGATTTTTCTTTTTTCGACATGGTTGAATAGAAACTCGGCAAGTTATATAAGGAAAACAATAATATCACACATGCTCAACAAAAAATTTTACCAAAGAATCCAAGATACTATTATTATTAAATATAAGAGTAATCCACAGAAAAATTCAGATTGTTTTTAAAAAGTTGCTTTTGAATATATGTATTATTGTTCTTATTTTTTCTTATATAATTCGCCGAGTTCTATCCAAATATGACAAAAAAAATGAATATTGCCGAAATTTTGAAGTATACCTACACGATATAGCTTATGAATACCTTGAAATTTGAATATCTCAATCCGGACATACTATCGGGCAGTTCATATGTTAAAATAGTTAGTTTAATACTGAGAACTTTCATTAGACTCGAATATGATCAATTTTCTGAGAAAATTATCAAACATGAAATATCTACGAACTTTTTGTTATCAATCAATCTAAGAAGCTGTAATAGTTAAATTACTTTCGAATATCTTATCTATCTGCATATCATTATTATTGACTTTGTCTAGAATAAGATAAATACAAAAGAAAAAACACAACAACATAATTGATTTATTTTTATCTTCTTATTAGGATATTAACGTCATACACATAATCGTTATATTTTTTTTCTGCTTTAAAATAAATATATATATATATGAATTAAAATCAAAGAGAGAAAAACGATTCTTTTTCTTCTTTATTAACTTGCTGTATCATCAGTTTCTAATAATTTATCATTAACGGTTCGTGTACCACTAAAATCAATAAGTTCATTACTTATTTTTGATAAATCACTAAATGATATTCGACCACGTTGACGAATTGCTTTTGTTACACGTTCCATTTCATCACGTGTTAAATAAATATATTTACCACGATCATCAAATAAACCAGTTATAGTACCTGTTTCTTGAAGATATTTTAAACGATCAATTACATCCTAGAATTTATTTTAAAATATATTAATTATTCAAATCGATAAAAATTATCGGAGTTATCAGTTTGAGAAATATTTTTCTATAGTAAAACTTCTTTTACTAAAATCCTTCTTTCCTGAGTTTTTCAAAGAATAGTTTCATCAAAACTTTCAGGATAGATAGATGTTGACTAGTAGAACAAACGTTATCATAGATTCGGAATTGTCGAATGCTTCGTTCAATGAGACATACGAGACGATGCAAGGACCAAAAATGAACTGAAGTCGTCCCGCCTCTGAAATTTTTGGTATCATAACTAAATCTTCTTTTCCTCAGCGAATCGAGATCGAGATGGAAAAAAAAGATTAGTCAAAGAATCATTTAAACAAAACTTTCTATATGTAACTATGAAGCTGTCACTACTACTATATATCATTCTATGGATCTGATCTTTCTTCTAATTCCAACAAGCTTAAATATCTCGTATTATCAAATACTTAGGGGGTTGACCAAAAGTTCTAAGTCCGATGTTTAAAAGATCTTGTCGGATAAGGTAACTTATTCAGGAATGAAAAACAACATATACCATATTGTAGAGCTTTTTGAGGCACACTGAATTGTATATAGTAAATCCTGTTTTCATAAGACTTTGAAGGAACTAGAGTCAATTTACTGATAGACGACTATACATCCCCACTGACAAGATGACTGGAGACGCTACGTATATAAGATTGTAGTCCGTCAAAAACTCTACAAAATCGTATGTGATAAAAAATATTTTACAAATACTTTCAACTAATACCAAGGACCACAATATTCAGTAGTCTATCATGCTTGTGTATGGATGTGTAGTCGTCTATTAGTAAAATAACTCTATCACCTTCAAAGTCTTATGAAAACAGGATTTATTATATACTATTCGACGCGTCTCAAAAAGCTCTACAACATGTTATGTTTGATTTTTCATTTCTGAATAGGTTATCTTATCCGACAAGGTCTTTTAAACATCGGGTTTAGAACTTTTGATCAACCCTAAGTGTTTCTAGTTAGGCTGGTCCCAGGCGCGGACTCGACGGAATCTGATGATTCTCATATTTGCCACTAATTACACTAGTATCCGCGTCCGCCACCACATTGACTCTATAAAAAATAAATCCTCTTTGTAGCAGTGTGTTCCAATGATTCAGTAATAATCTGAAATTGTACGCCCCTAGTTCTGTTCTTGACAAAGAAATTTTATCAAAAAATAAAAAAAAATTTCTATTATTTGAATATCTTACTTGAGTTCGAAGTTTAAATTGTGCAGCTAACTCATCAAGATACATGAATTTGGCTGTTTTAATATATTCAACAAATTGATTAAGTGCTGATTGATTCTAAATAAAAACATTTAAATAATAAAATATAAAATGAAATATATACATATATATATATACATCAATATCATCTGGATTTTGATCATGACCTTCTTCGTCAATAGTAAATCCTTTTTTTAATTCAAGATATTCTTCATATTCTTTACGTTCACGTTCTTCTTTTCTTCGACGTTCTTCTTCTTGCTAAAAAAAAGAAAATAAATTTATCGAAATGATTGATTTTATTTTTATTAAATATTACTTCTTCTTTTTCACGTTGTTCTTCTTCTAATTCTTTTTTACGTCGTTCTTCAGCTAATTTTTCTTCTCGTTCTTTTCTTTCACGACGTTCAACTAATTCTTGCTAAAATATTCAAACACAAACTTTGTTTTGTTTTTTTTTCTGCAAGTTCTTTTTATATTACTTCACGTTGTCGATTTTTTTCAGCTTTTGCTTCTAGTTTTAATCTTTTCTTAGTACCCATTTTAGGATCAATGTCAACTGGATCATCTATCGTTGTTGGATCAAAATCATCTAAACAAACAAAAAAAGAAATTATTCATAAAAAAAAAAAAAGAATTTTAATCGTTTACCTGCATCATCATTATCATTTTGTGCTCCAGCATCATATCCATGTGCTGGATTAAATTGTCTACGACGACGAATTTGTGCTGCTCTTGGTCGATTATCATCAATTGGACGCCGTTGAATTGGAGGTGGTTCACGATTATTTTGTTGTTGCTCTACATTGAATATAAATAAAAGAAAATTTAAAATAATAAAGAAAATTTATTCAAACCTGTTGGATGTTTTTTAGCATAAAATAAAGCTCCAATAAATACAATAAGAAGTACAATAGCAAGAATTAAAATAACATCCATTTTTTATTAGAAATTATAAAACTGAAATAAACGTAATATATTAGTATTCTTATTGTTATAAGATGAATGTAATAATATGATTGATGAATATATTTTACCAATGAAAATCAATGCTAAATATTATTGGTAGACTACTACATGACTGAAGTCAAATAAATAAATAGTTATGAAATCATTGATGATAAAATTTTAGAAATTGTTGATTCATTTTTTAAGATCACCTGATTTTTTTTACGCTTTTGTTTTGAATGCGTCAATTTTTTGTTTCTAGTAAACACTTAAGATCTCCCCCTCAAAAAAGTCACTTTTCGTCAGAATGGTCGGGATTAAGATAAATACATAGGAAAATAGCTTGTGATTTGATCTTTCATAGACAATAAAAATTTTTACTCAGCACCTCATTTTTTCCAAAAATTTTTGAAGATTTCTGTCGTCCTCTATTTGAAAAATAAGCTGCTTTCAGAAAAAACAGAAAAACTTTTCGTTTTTTCTCTGTGTATAGTTTCTTGAGCGCGCAATTCAAATTTCTCTGTCGATACTCATTCAATATTTTTATTTTTATTTTTGTTCGAAAGAGCGCATCAAGACACAGTGCAGTACAGAGTGTTTTTTTGTTATTATATATACAGACACTTATATAACTTGACATCCATTTTTTAAAGGTTTTTTGAATCATTGAACTTTCGATCTCTTTTCTTCCCTTAAAAAATAGGGCTCTGTACTGTACTGTATTCTGGCATACTCTTTCAAACAAAATCTCTAGAATGAACCTAGACAGAAAAATTTGGTTTTCCAAATGAACTATTTTTGACCCTTGTTTGGTCACTATGTCCCTTAAACGTCATGATATCGGGCTGAAAATTTTACCATAACTTATCCAATACAGCTCCAATATATTCTAAAAATTTCATGTTATTTGAACGTTCCTGAGCTGAGATCGATTTTTGAAAAGGTCTGATATATTAACAATAGTGACTGTTGTTTCATTTGCGATTGATGTCGCCTGTTTATGGAAAAAAAAAATGAATTCGAATGAATGGTATCAGTTGAAAATATTCTCTCGGAAGAGATATTCTTTGTTTTTGAACATGACAATGTTTTTTCTAAAATTAATATGATAGAAGAGTTTTACTGGTGAAAGCTAAGTGTTCAAGTCGAATTTTCATATATACGTCGAAATTTCTATTGTTTCAATCGAGATAGGATTATTTAAATAACTTTAATTAGAAATCTTCAACAAAAATCGATTATCATGTATTCATAATTTGTGCTTTGTTCACAGTCATACATGGAGATATCTGGGTACAACACATGACGTCCTAATATTTCATTCCAAAAAAATATTCGATCTACAGTTGCTGCCAACCAATCAGTTGAAAATCCAAATGACATAATAATTAATTTCATGCTATTTTAAAATAATAACTTATATATGTAATCGAATATCTTTCACCTCTACTCTTTAAATGCATATCCAATCTCAATACTACTTGTGAGGCCTAGTTTTTAAGAATACTATTTGGAAGAGCACTAACTTCTGAAGGGAATGAGAGGTCACTGCATTTTATAACAGCTTTCATGAAACATTACAAACATTTCTAAAAACGGAAAACAGCTAAATTCATTAGAATATTGAATGATGACCGGTTTTGTTTTTCGTTTTTCGTAATGCCTATAAACAAGCTTTCACAAAGTCTTCTGAAACTTCAAAAAAGTACCTTGCTTGATTTGTTTTTAGAAACATCACCTTCATAGTTCATCTGATAGGAAATTTCATTTGCTATTCAAATCACTATTTGGATGCCAGGTTGATTCTCAGTATTACAGAGGAAAAAAAAGCATTTTGTGTTTGTAATTTTGAGCAGTTTTTATTGAACTATATATATGTAATTGAACCTAAAAACAAAATTTCTTTTATTACAATTTGATCACATTTTGTTTCGTTAGTATTTTTATCTTTTGATTTTTTTGAAAAATTTCTTTTATTATTTCATTTGATGCTCGTGCATATTAGTTTTAAGTATATTTTCTACTTGTTCTAAAAAATATAGTTTTTCTTGAAAATTAATAAATCAATACGACAGTTTTCGTCTATGTCTAACGTACTTAAACCAATACAATCTTTTGGAATAGTTAATTGAAAATTTCTCATATATGTATTATTAACAGTAAATAAAACATGAATGTTATCATCGAGTGTGAAAGTTTCAATACTCATATGATTAAATTATCTGTCATGTGGCATATAATAAAATCAAAACATAAAATAAAACATATAATCATCTTTATTAGGTTGTAATAATTCAACTGAGAAGATTTTCTTTAAAAAATCAAATTATCAATAGAAAGAAAATAAAAAGAGATTTCAATTCGTGCAAACTATTGCAACACTTCGTTTCTGTAAGGCCTGATGTGATTAAGAAAAACGATCAGTGCTTTCAACTTGTTTTGCAAGAAAATTGGCCGCTGGAACCTTCCCAATTGATTTGAAGATCTCCTTTTGAATTCTGTTAGAAAGAGTAGATCTGAAATCATAGAAAACTTGCTGTAAAGTACCATGACATCTGTTTAATCAGAAGAGAAGAAATAATTATTTTTGTGAAAATAGAACGTTTGAAAATGGACCTTCTTGAACTATAGTAGTGCTGACCAGATATGGCTTTCCAGTTATTCCTTTCTAGAGCTCTTTTTATTCGGTTTTGTAGAGAATTAAATGGAGAATCTTCTGAAAAAATGTTCAAATAAAAGTATCTCGTGCTGCGGTAAATATTGAGAGATTTATTATTTATATCACGCTCATTATTTCGGAAGATGCGTCGTATCATACAAATGATCCTTCTCTTTCATCAATAATTCTAAATACACGAAAGTTTGAACGAAAAATTCTGCTATGATTAGCAGTCTCTATTAAAGCGCGTTCGGACGCATACATATATAAAAGCAAGAATTTTATAAATGAGAATAAATACTTTAAAGAATATGTACAACATCGATGGATTAACTTCATCGAAGGGAACTATTTGGCAACACGAAACCCATAAGTTCTGATCTAATTTGACAAATGCTCATTACATACACCACAACTTTTATGTGCATCAGAAGCGGAAAACGAATCACTTGTGCTAAAATACAAAAAATCTTCCCCATTCATCTAATAAAGTAAGACTAATCCTATATTACTCATTTTTAATCACGTTTGAGAACGAAATATGGAATCGTTATGCATGATAATAGGTGTAGTCCTTACCTTTGCGTACTACACTTCATGAATCATATGACAGTAGTGATGCTCTTTCAACAGGTATTTATTGACAAACAGATACGTGAATGTGCATTCACTACTATTTTTCTGTCTATTCTCCTTAATGAAGGACAAATTATTTCTTGTCGGGGATTGTTGGTGCTCGTCATCGATGACATTTCAGACGTTTCTCTACAACGTCTTCGTCCAAACAAGCCGCATATAATCAATAAAAGAAATACAGTAAAGTGCACACGATATGGCGATCCACCAGCTACAGTGGCCTTTATGATAGACGGTCTCTCTGGTCTATGCGAGAATATATCGGAGAATATTAAACTACTTACATTCACTGATAATTTCAGTGAGTACCAACGTGAATATCTACTTATCACCCGTTCGTCATAACTGCTACCATTACTTGTTTGGCTTCACCCATCGCTTTCACCATCGTCATCAGTACTAAGTACCAATCTTGTACCTGAAGCAAATATAGACAATTTAACGGGAACAATAAATGGTCCACATGACTACCATTTACTTTTACCGGAAGGTTGAATGTCGACGTTCAAACAATCAACAATGTTATCGATCAAATTAAACATCGAACCGATCTGCTAGTCGATTCTTCTCAAATATTCGTATCCATCTGGAGCAAAGGTGCAGTAATGGCATTGGAATACGCATTGAACATAACGACTATTGCTGCTGTAACCGTCTATGCAGTACTCAATTCATATGGTACTTCGAACGATCCATGTGCTCCAACGCTCTATCCATCCTATTTTACACCTATATTTGATTTACATCCTCAGTGTGATATCGGCAATGGTTGTGAAGTAAGCCAAGCATTCTTCAATGATTGAACACGTATACAGGATTTACTGCCGTAAACAATCTTTATAAGGCGCGCTTTGTTTACATGCAAATTTTAAAAAGACGATAATTAAATTCGAGCTATCTCATTAAAATTATATTCATTCATCAATTTAAAAAATAATCATCTCAAATATTTATTTGTTCAACTGTTTTTCTTTTCTTTTGTTTCCCCACCCCCTGCTCTGTGTAATTGAGTAAACTAATCACAAATCACAATTATGTGAAATACTTATTGAATTTTTTTTTCAGTTTTAATCTGGAAATTTTATAGTAAAATCATTTGATATCATTATCTTTATACAATATTATATTCTTTTTAAAGAATCGATTTTTATATTCGAGTACTGTATTATTTCTTAGCATTAACGAATCAGAAAACAAATGTAATAAATCTGGTCTTATATTCTCATATCGACGGGTTTGTGTTTTATTTTTGGTTGAATAAGATATAATAGTATAAGATATAAATAGGAAAAAACTGTGATAATTTTGTTTTTTACTTTTTTTTTCATCTTTAATACAGAAATTTATTAACAATGTTTCAATTAGATATAGAATAATATTTTTTTAATTTTAAAAATGACATCAACTAATAACCTCACATATAGAAACAAAAAAAGAATCCAATGCTGAATTTATGTGTATTGTAACAAAAATGAGAAAGTTATCCTTGATAGTGTTATGTTTACATAGCATATTCTTTTGAGGGAATTTTTACTGAATGGAACAAAACAAAATCATAAACAACGTTTCAATTGTGTATCAAGTATTGAAGCATTTTTGATATCATATTTAATTATATAACAATATTCAACAATGATACTCATGCATCCAAGAAAAAAATTGCGATATAAAAAAAATTTATATACAATTGATTTTG